AAAACAGTTAACAGCGTTTACCTAAGTCAGATAAATACTTAGTCAAAACCTTGTCATCAACAATCATTTTGCGAACTCACCTTTGTATACAAATATATTAAAATGTATGTTTTTTTGTTTGCTTTTTGACCAGGGCTTTTGCTCGAGAAATGCTGGAGAGGAAAATTGGTGTAGTTGTTGTTGGATTTCCAGCCACGCCGATCACAGAGGCCCGAGCTCGCTTCTGTCTGTCTGCAGCGCACACCAGAGAAATGCTGAACCAGGTGCACTAACATTTCTGAGGCTTAGGCGTTGTTTTACCTGAATCAAACATACACACATGTTCTGAGACTCTTTCTCTGTCCTCAGGTGCTTCACCACATGAACGAGGTGGGAGACCTCTTCTGCCTGAAGTTCTCACGACGGAAGCATTCGTCCCGTCCTGACCTCCATGATGAGACAGGGCTGGAGCTGAGCAGCTGATATGACCTTTGACACCTTCATTTCACAGTGTCAAGACGAAGTCTAAGTGCCCACGCAACAGCAGACCTATAAACACACAACGTAGAGTAACACCCATGTCTCACGGCAGAACAAGGGCCAAATGTTAAGCAGCTGCTTTGTATATGTTGGTTAAACATTGTGATCTAACAGAACATTTATTTGTGCTTCTTAACATGGTACATATGAACTATTTAAATACCTTATTTCCTAATATATGTATATTTGAAAACAAATGTTTGCACATCCATTGCTGGATTGGTCTCAGGTATGGTGTAAAATATTTAGAGTTATTAGCTTTTTATATTGAGACAAAAAACATATGGTTAGTTCAATATATTTCAGAGGCTCTTTTTACACATTTTTTCTCCCGTCTATATTAAGACGTTGAAAACTTTTTATGGAAGCATTTTTTGCTTCTCATAACTGAACATCATGGTGGTTATTATTTAAAAAATGATGCAGTCTCTACAAAAAAATTATGTAAGGAGTCATTTTCTTACCTAACATGAAGTAGTAGGTATTGAAATTGGAAAAGGCATTTGTGACTTGAAATTTCCCATGTGGTCTACTTCTGCTGATTTGTATTTGTCCTAATAAAACACAAATACTGCACATAAAAACCTCCTGAATGTGTTTTGGAAACGGAAAGGTTGATTAATTATGCGGATGACAGGCTACATAAATTCCTGAACCTTCCGTTTTATACTGTTTTAAATGCCAGACATATGACTGTTTACACTAAACAAGGCTGAACTGATTTAGAAAAATATGAGGAATATAAAAACTTTTACACCACTTTCATCTCCACAGTAAATGATAACCTTCCTGTAAATAATAGATCATGCAGCAATTACTTAACTACTGAGTTAAATCTTAAAAACAAAGGTGCAGAATAAAAAAGGTGTTATGGCCTGTTTTGTGGCGAGACTGCACATATTCACAGAGTCTTAACAGCCTAATTGTTGATGTTTTAAAGACCGGCTGTGCTCTTTCATACAGACTGAGTAACAGTTGTGAAGGTAAGCATGCAGAGTATGCAGCACCTGAGCCAACAGAAACCTAACCTAGCAATTAGCACTGAACTCTAAATTCTCGTGGTATGGGGTAATCATTTGATTATCACAGGAAGGATTATAGATGGATGATAAATGTGTTTTCACAATGTGTCAGATTGGGTCTAGTCGACACTTGTTTGCCCTCGGGACATTACCATGTTTGTGATTTTTTTCCTTCCCATAAACAACATAGTGATGACACAATGTGGAATTATAATGCAATATGCAATCCTTGGGGGGAAACAAACATAGACATAGAACAGATATTTTCCTTTAAAGGATAAAACCGTGACGCTCCACCACTCTGTCCTGTAAGTGAATATTCACATCTGGCTTCTATAGCCAGAAACAATAGAAAACAGTTTTGTTAATCCTCAAATCTGTGATGTCATCCCAATGTACTGTTCCATAAAGATCTGGAGGAGATGGGGAAAAGGTGGCCTCCTAATGTTGCATTGAAGTCCTCGGGATGTCTGGTATTAATTTGTGTTTACTTTCACCTTTAGTCTAAATGCGGACATTCTGAAATTCATTGCGGGTTTACAGCAGAAGACAGATGTGTGTAAAGAGAAACTTAAAAGCTTGAATTCATACTCGGACAAAACTCAGTGCGTCACAGACATGCAGTGCTCAAATACTAAGCTACACTGTGATTATGCAGGAAGGCAAACTTTAACTTGTTGAGATTTACCAGCAACATTTTTGTTCAAACGCAGAGCAGAAAGTATGCTTGTTCTGGGATTGCAATATTTTAGAATTAAATTATGCCAGAGGAAATTATCATATGGGTCGCTTTAAAAAAAAAGAAAAGTATTTCCTTCAGTCAGTATTTAACATGTTTTTTAGTACTTTTGTATGATTCAGCTAATGAAAGCTTTATTTAATCTTATATCAATAAGTATAATGTAATAACCCTTAACATGTGTGTATCATTGTTACCTTTCGAGAGAAAAGCAGACAGAACTGACATATTTGATCATATATATCTGTAACAGACTCTTCATCCATTACACGCTCTCAGTTAAACTGTTTCATTTGTATTTATATTTTTGACTTATTTTTAAAACGACTTGACAAAAAAACAATATAAAAACATAGAAGTTACAGAGACAACAATCTCTATATATTAGAAATAAGAATTTCTTAGAAAGACTGGCAAACACAATTTCAAATGTTCCTCATTACAATTATCTGCTGCATGATAAAAGATACTAATGACACCTTGAATGGACAAACTCCACAGGTGTCAATCTAGCCTATGAAGCAAAGTGACAGAGTATGGTAATTCAGTTTGACTTTCAGGAAAGGTGGGAAGCTCGTGTGTTGCCAAACTTCTCTCCAGTCACTTCTAACTGCCCTCAGCTTCAACAGAAGTGGCAAATGGTCTGCTCTGGCATTCGAAACATCTGTGCAGCCTGACTACTGGTGGCAGGGCCCCAGAGACCTGCCTGCACCAGCCCCTTTTGAACTGCAGATCCAAATACACTGCACTTATTGGAATGGCATGTAGCTGCTATTCTGAAGGGGGATCCTCTGCTACGCCTTTGATGTCCACCACTGTGTCCAAAGCAGGCAAGCCATTCTCTCAGCTCTCTGTTTTCCATTTAGACAAGAGATTTTTCTATTCTGGAAAGGGATTTTTGAAGTGAAGCAGACAAAGAGCAGATTTACATGGTTTAGGCAGCTATGCTGGACTATGAGTAAGACTGCAGTAAAGCTGTATACTGGGAACCACTTGAGCATAATGAAGTGGGCCGGGGTGGTGTGTTTCATTAATGTAGATGAAAATTAAGTGCATTTTCTTTAGATGTATTCAGATGTTTGATCTTATCAGATATTTGTGACATAGTTCAGTTTATTTGTGATGTATGGGAATACGGTACTGGATGACATATGATATTTGGGTGATATCAGTGATCAAAGATGTTGCATTGCTCATTTCTGCACATCATTATCTGCTGCCAGTTACTCCACTGGCATTCTTAAGGATAATAAGTTAGCTGCCACTCAGACCAGATGTACTCACTGTGCACACATGGGCATCAGATGTACATTGGAGATATAACAAACTGAAGTCAGTTCTGGGCATGAGTTTACCAAAAGTCTCAGAATCACCCCTTAAGACTCATGACAACCAGAGCTGTAAAACAAATATATGATGACCCTTTGTCGATATTTATGCTTGTATTCAATACATTTAAAACAGTATTATTTAATAATAAGTTCAATCATGTTTAAGTGTAGGCCTACTTGTTTTTTTCATGTTAATATGTAACAGTAGTGTAATTTGGGGGACGTTTTGGCTCTGCTGTTCCACTGTCTTGAGCTGTGCGTTACGCGCCATTTGGCACCACCATCAAGGATAATGCCTGCATAGAAAGGAAACAAAAACAATACAGTATATACGTTTAAATGGTTTTATGAAAGCTGTTACCACACTGTCAAACAATCCATAACAGTAATGAGATCGTGTTCGTCATCGTCAGTAACATTATTGTTCCACTCGTGCCCAAACTGAATGTCTCGACTTCAAAGGTGACAAACGACATTAGATGCACCGCGGTCTCCCCCGTGCCTCCGGGGCTCAGTGAACTGTCACCCATGCTGGAGCAGCAGCATCCCCGCTTGGTGCATAATTTGACACAGCGACCTGTCCTTTGAAGCGGACAATAAAAAGTCTCACAAGGGCTAATCACATTACGCACCATTTGTCTCGCTTAAGCGAAGTGTTACAGCACCTTCCGTATGAGCGTTTTAATCAAAGCCTGGGACGAGGCTGCTGCAGCACACATGTCCACAGGAGAGGCAGACCTCCTGTCACGCGCCTCCGGGTCTCTTCCTCCGCGCTGTGACGCGCCTGTGTGCCCAGTGCGCCTCCGGGGACCACCAAGGATACTTTAGGATGTCTCATGTGCCTGTGTAGAGGCTTTTTTTGTTATAGAAAACAAGTGTGTTTGGATAACGTAATCACTATAAATATACGTGATTGAATGCGTATTGAAATGTCCCCCAATAACACGAGGAAGTTTTGTCCATCTGGATTTGTACTTTTTGTAAATTGTAATTTGTGTAATTGCTATCATGAATATTTCATGCATGCCTATGTATTAATGTTTCCTCTTTGCTCTGCACTTTTGCTGTAACAATGTTAATTTCCCCATTGTGGGACTAATTATAATTCTAGTTCTTATTCTGTAGACTCTGCCAAGATATTTTGTAGATTTTAAACATAAATCCTTATCAGCTTGGTCCTATGACTATGAATGATTTATAGTAATCACATCTGTATGCTGGAAAATAAGCTTTATGTGACTTTTGGATGTTTCCAAACAAGAATATGGTGTTAAACCTGGCCGGACAACCCTTTGGGGAGGAGAGGGGCGAAAGAGTTAACCAGGGGGAGGGCGCCTGCACAGGGGCGTATAGTATAAAACCACCTCAAGAGCGCACATCAACAACAGCGTGTGTTTTAGTAAGCCGTAGTTTGCTATGGTTTGACTTTTTTCCTCCAACAGGACTCGTTAGAGACGCACGCCAGCCCGTGTCTTCATTTAGGTTGGCTCCATCCGCAGCATAATGGATGAATGCTGTTTTTGAAGAGGACAGAACTCCACCTAACTGGGAAGATATATTTAACTACCTGCACTCTTTTCTCCAAAGGTAGTGTCGTCGAATAACATAGGACAGCGCACAATGAGGACACATCAAGAAATGCGCAAAGTGGCTGGAGAGGAAGTGAGGAAAAGTGAAGTGTGAGGCTGAGAATGTGGCGGGGACACCACGGGGCAACTGGGCTGCAAGTTTCCTGAGCTTTGGAGATCTGACGAGGGAGAAACAAGAGGGGAACGTGTTAGTGCTGCGCGCAGGACCAGCCCTGCAGTACTCCTGGCATATCAGTGCAATACCTTATATTTAGATGAAAGTATAGGAACAATCAGTAAAAGAAGATCAATCTTGATTCAAGACAAGTTTAAAATCCAACTGGATCCAAATTAGTCTTCATTATACTACTTCCAGAAGTATTCGACTGCCCCCTCCTCCGAACCTTTTCCCTTCAATTTTGCAATTCTGATTCCCGAAGTGGCTCCGAAGTGGTGTTGCGGCTCCTCGTCCCCGGCGGATCCGGAGATTGGGGTCTCTGCACCGGGAGGAGGCGGAGTGGGAGCTCCGGCCACACCGCAGGCTCCTAAGAGCGGCCGCGTCAAAAGGATGGTGCGTCTGGCGGCGGAACTGCTGCTCCTCCTGGGACTACTTCTCCTCACCTTGCACATCACGGTACTGAGGAGCAGCCCGCTGCCACAGGGAAACGAGACTCTGAGCCTGGATCAGGACACAGCACTTACAGAGGTGAGGAAAACTGATGGTGTAGTGCTTAGATGGAAGATTTCTTTAGGGGATTTTGATACAAAAGAGGATATCTAAGGGGGCTCATTGGGTCACAGATGGGTTTGATAAATGCTCATTGGAGCCCAGGTAAACTATAGCCTCCATTCCCCGGGAACTATGTGAGTCTCTTGTTGACATAGCCTACATACGATTGCGGTCTCCCTAGGGTGTCCCCCGGGAATGGCAGGGAGCCAGCAGAGGGATGGGAGATGAGGCAGGGTCAGAGATCAGCCCCCTGCTCCAAACGCACCTCACTTTAGTTGTGGGTTAAATGCTAGCTGCAGGCACTTGTCTGTCATCATGGGCTCATCACTGTCATCCAAGCTTTCAGTTGCTGAGGTCAGAGCTGAACCCCTCAGGGTGCCCATCCAATATGCCCCACTGGAGGAGAGTCTGCCATCAGACTGACTTCTGCCCTGATCCAGATCAAGCCTTAACTTAAGTCCTGTTTGTTTCCTTTGAGCCTGCACTATACTAACATATATTGACACAGCCAAATATGCAGATCAGATATTAATGCCCAATGTAAAGGAAAAGCTATGAAATAGAATGATATATATAAATAAAGTAACATATTTTTTACTTGATTTAGTTTAGGCAAAATACAGCTTTTAATGGGACGTTGTTGGGTTGTGGTCCAGTTTAGAGCGTGCCACAACAACATTTCACAAGGGACACATTTGTCAGCATGACACCACTTAAGACAGGTTTAACAGTTTAACTGGCCATTTTAAACATCAGCTTAAAGCACAGACTCCAGCAGAGCCTCAAATCCTGACTCGAGGGTTAAGTCAGGTCTGGGATCAACAGGCTTTTTTAGAGCGTGTTAAGCATCCCTCAGCTGCCTTTGATGTATATTTAGCATGCTACTGAAATACTTTCGTCAAGTCCCGGTGATAAATGGGTATTTATGCCCTTCATAAATTCTTTATTTTAGGGCTGGTGGAAATGAATGGAAATAATTTTGACTTTAACAGAGGATGATGAGGGTAATTTCTCTTATCTTCACTATCACTGTAGACCTGCCTGCCTATATGCAACAGCAAGCCTGTGTTCTGTTGGATATTAGGGCATGCAAAGCTGAAGAAATATTCCAGGAATTTGTGGAATATTTGTCACAGGATGAGGAGAGTTTCTCCTGGGGAATTGGTGCAACACATACTTTCCCACTTTCCCATTTGTCACTCGTTTACATTTACAAAGAGATTCTGGCTTGTGATAAAAGGGCCCAACACTGCAACACATGCCCCATGTTGAGGAAAGCTGAATGTGTTTTTTTAAATTTTGCTAATGAATGCTCCGACTTTGTGCAGATATGCTTCACTGGTCTGCCACTGAAGACGATGATGTCATCTTTCAGCCGGGCTTGTCACGGGCCAGGGGGTGTATTGTCATTCCAAGGTGTCATATTTAAAATGCCATTCACAAAAACACAAATGACAGGATGCGGCTCCATGCACCTGTAGTGGGGACAGGAAATGATTTGGTCCACGGCACATCATCATCATCACTGACCCAGGAAGGCAGTTTCATCCACAATGGGGGTGTAATTATATATTTAACAAAACAGTATTTTTGTATCTTAAGCTGCTTTTGAGCGTATTTTCTTCTTTTGTATAAGTATTTAAATCTGAGCTCCTCTCTGGCATGTGCCATCTCAGTTTGATTCAGTACATAAACACGTACGTAATCCCAGAGTGAGTCGTGTGACAGAGGAAGGATCGTTTTCTCTTCCACCTAGATGAGTGTAGTGTTGAAAAGCATCTGGCACAATGTGCACTGCCTTCATTTCCTGCCAGCCTCCCTGGGGGAAGGACCCCTGAGTTGCTCCCAATTGAAAATGGAGTCATGCCCCTTTAAGCAGCCCTCACAAAGTGAAAAAAGGGGAAGCGGGAAAAGAAGAGGAGATACTGTGAGGAAGGGAGAGGGGGTGGCTTGTGTGTGCAAGTGTTCATTCATGGCTTTTGAGAGTGGGGGGTGACATCCTGGGAGGCCCCAGATGAACTGAGGAATGGTGTGTCACTTTTGATCTCCAAATTAAAGCACGTTCCTCGTTGAGGGAGATCTCAGTTGAGTGATAGGGACTGTAGAGCAGCCCGCCATCAAAGGGCAACTCTGCTGATTTTTTCACATTAATATGGGTAACTCCTGTGCACTGTTTGAGTCCGGGCCGTATCATTACGTTGTGTTAAAAGGCTCTGCTGAGATTCACTTGGAAAAGACAGAGAGGTGTTTATGTTGACATTATCAGGAATTTACACAACTGATACACAACGGCCATTCCTGTCCGATGACTAATTCCTATGTTGTTCAGTCTTTCTATCATTTCCAACTATGCTAATTGTCCTGAATCTTATTTCTGAAAAACTGATTGAGACAGAACAAAAATCAGTTATTAGGACACTGAAATGTCATGTTTGTGCTTAGATTTCCCCCTTTCTGTCTTAATTATGACCGTTTTCAGCTATTCAATCTACCAATGTTCCTATTAGGAATTTCACTCAAGGCTTTTATCAACAGGATTTTACTTAAGGACTATATTTAGAACTTGTATCACTTCTTATTCCGTATTTTTGTATAAAACACCTAATAGCAATCCTCTCATATTAAGAATTCTTACACTCCCTTCTGCAAGAAGAATCAGAAATAAAACCGTATTAGTGTTAAACTACTAATATTTGCCCATAAACTGATAAACAATGTGTTTACAAGCACTCAGCGAAGAATCACCTTAAGTGTTGCTCTGGGATTTATCAGAATGCTTACAAATCTGACTTTAAACAAACCAAATTTGTGTCAGGATTTAAAATCCGCCTAATGTGTAAAACAACATAATATGACAACAGAAGATCCAGACAGGATTCCACCGGATTATGAGGGATTAATATACCTGCAAACACTACGACTGGGTTTCAAGTCACAACACTTTGTGTATTCTGACACATTTGTGGTGGCATCTGCTTCCTTTTCATAAACCAACTCATGCAGAACGTAGCAAATCTTCACTCAACAACGACTTTTGGGAAAACAAAGGAAATTGTCCTTCGTCAGTGGCTGTGAAATCCCTGTTCTATTATCAGCATCATTAAACATGAAGAGCAACTTGTGTGGTCTGCAGCTGATATCCAAAATATGATCCACCAAAAGGAAATCAACCACACCTGTTTGGTGTCTTTACAATTGTGCGGATGCATTTACATTGTGATTGAACCTGTGAGTGTTGTCTGACACTCACAGTCTGATCCCTCAGTGGAGCTCTGTTACAGTGACTGAGTGACTTCTGAAGGCTGGGAACTTGAAAGACGGGGTTATCACGTGGGCATCTCAAAGCCTGAGTACTTGTGATAGAACCAGAGAGGGTCCTGTGATGTTCACTTAAATGGTCAATATCGGATGCAATAACTATTTAGTAGGAATGTCTTTCTATACCGAGCATTCAGCCATAATCGTTTGGTTATGGAAAAGACACTTGTGGTTTTTATTGGGATATGCCATTTCAGAATCATTATCTTTAAATGTTATGATTTAAAAAAAAGAAGTTCTCATCATCTTATCTAAAACTCTCTCTGTTTTTTATTTGGTGGCTACATACAAAGTGCATATCTTCCTGAGAGTTATGAGCAATGGTATAATCATTGTAATTATGACAGTAGCGCACATTAAGATATATGATGTGAACGTCTTTACATTTGTAGAAATGCATCTGTGAATCTAGAATCACCAAAAAGTCACAATGCCACAAGACTTTCTGTACAGCCGCTGATCCCTCTGCGGTTGAATAAAAGTTAGTTGTACATTTATAATCCTTCCTCCCTTGCTGTGCGGCTCCATTTACAGCATCTATATTGTCCCAGAGTGCACCTTGGCTGGACACAAACAGCTCCACTGGGGGCTTTTATGCCCACCACAATGTGGCTGAGCTGACACTTTGTCTGTGACTGGCCACCGCAACACTACAGCACTGCTGCCATATTCTCAGGCCTCAGCCCAGCCACAAAAACACTAAGGAGGAAGAAATGGGACGTGAAAAAAAGAAAACAAGGAAACATGATTGATGGCTTTCTTTGATCTTATTTTCTGCCACTCGAGAACGGATGATTGCCGACTACTTATGGCCGTCTGTCCAATTGAGGAATAATTGTTCCTTCAGTGCATACCTGACAGGGGCCATATGTCCTCAACTGTCCTTTGGGGATGAATTTACAACCCCCTTGTCACAAGACCAAATGTTTTTCTGTCGTCGAGAAGGCAGATGTAATTAATTTGTAATGTTTGCTTAGGTTTCTCTGTTTGGCCACAGTGCAGGAAACCCATCAGTCTTGCATGCTTTTCTCTCCCAGGCAGCACCAGGACATGCTATAAATGTCCACATCATATAACTACCGTAAAGCTGGAGCAATCTCTCTCAGTTAAAAAAGGAAAAATATACAGTCTAATTGTGACGTTGGCTCTGAATGCAGGCTCTAGACACTTTGTATTTTGGTGGAAGCAGACAGACTCAGTGATGCTTGTTCCACTGTTTCAGTGGCTCCTTATTTCTGGGCTCCAGAGTCCACTGCCCACAGGATATATGACAGAGGTCATCGATACATGAACCTCTGTCAACATCCCTCTAAAGTAGCTGAGGGTGATGCCTCTGTAGATGCCAAGTGACAGGCTCCCTACTCTAAACATTCCCACACAAGTATTTTCTATAAATACTCATATATTTTGATTGCACAAACATTAAAGGTCCCCTATTATAATGTTTTTCATGACTTTATTATAGGTCTCAGATATATACAAAACTTGTCTCTGAAGTGTTTGGCCTCGAAATACCAAACAGATCATGCATTGTACATCCCATAATCCCCTCTGTTTCAGCCCTGTTTCATAAGTGCTGATTCTCTGTCTGCCCCTCTGCGAGATATTTGGTTAAAAAAACACAATGGCGGTCTAGGAGGAGATTCAGGTGATAAGGTGGGGGGGGGGGGTGTTACCTTGGTTGGTTATTGGCTAATGGTTACACAAGCCAATAAAACGTTATGACATCATAAAGTGGCCAAAATCTGATCAGCTCTTTTTCAGACAGGTTTTTATATAAAAGGATCAGGACAAAAAGTGAGCTAATCTTTTTTCCTGAAACTTTCAGAATCTCTTTAAAAGAGGGGACACATGTTGATGTATAAAAGACATGAAAAAGTGGATTTTGCACAATAGGTGACCTTTAATGTATTAATACAGTCTCCCTTTCTCTCCTTAGCAGAACAATATAAATGCAAAAAGCAGCTCTTCGGCCAAACTGGCTCCTGAAGACCGGAAGTCTGGAACAGAACACCGGTTGGCCCACCGGCCTGCCACCCTCCCCTGGGCACAGGGCACCAACGTGCACCGGGACAGCCCTGGAGCCTTCCTCCTAGACCTGCACAACTTCCCCGACCTCTCCAAAGCAGACATCAATGGCCAGAATCCCAACATACAGGTGACCATGTGTGTCTGTGCACCTGCTTTGATGCTTTCACTTAATCGTAAGACATGGCTACTCAACCACACAGGACAGGAAGAGCAAACAGGAAGGAGGGGAATCAGTTGGTGCACATCACTACCCCCTTTTTCTCTCCCTTCCTTCTCCCCCTTTCACACTTCCTGGCTCGTAGTGAAGCTTACACTGAGGTCTCACGTCCATCATAATGACAGCTGAAAAGCAGACACTAACCAGCAATGCCTCACTACTACTAACCCATGTGCAGGAAGACAGACGGCAGCTTATGTTAATATGTACCCATAAGTCCCTCAGAGGTGCAGATGGCCGATTAACCGCTGCCATGTTTAAATCATTCTCCTGTCTAATCCAGCGAGGGGTCTTTCCATTTCTGAGAGCATCACTGCTAAATCCGAGCACGAACAAAGTGTATTAACATCTCAAGATGTGGGAAGAGAGCGCAGCAACCAATTGAGCAAGGGCGTGAGGCTGTTGGAGATGGGGGGGAGGAGGAGGTGGGTGTCTTTGATCCTGGGATTCATCTGGCTTTCATGGTCTGGAGGAGGCTGAGTAGCCCTTTGAACTTTGTGTTTAGGTGGAGAAAGCCCATGAGGTGGGAGGGTGACTGTGGGGCAGGGGTGGTGGTCCCCCCTCATCTGGGAGGCACATGTGTGAGGACAGAAAGGGGGAGGGGGGTAATATTGTGCATGGGGGTATCTGAAAGTGTCCCCCCACGGCAATGGATCGACCCAAAATGTATCAACATTTCCTTCTCAAAAATATTTACTTTGAGGTACTCTTTGGATACATGTAGACACACAATTCACAAGAATTCAAAGGCCTTTTCCTGATTTTTTTTTTTTTAACAAAACAAGTAACTTATTTGATGACTTTGTGTTTAATATCTACTTGAAATCTACTTCTGTTCTTTCACACAGGTGACCATTGAAGTGGTGGATGCACTGGAGGGCCATGAGCCAGAGAAAGGCCTCCGTAAGGAGAGCAAACCAAACTGGGCTTCTCCAAACTGGAGAAACTGGTGGCCTCGCTCTTCTTCACCCTCCTCCTCTTCCACCACCCATCAGACGGAGGAGAAAGATCTCACCTACGGGAGCAACCGTGAGGACAGCAACTTCCTCAGGCCGCCTGCAGACTGGGACAGGAGAGGAGGAGCCGGGGGTGGAAGCAAAGCTCAAACTGAATATGGTGAGAATGATTTGAAGGTGCAAGGAAATGAGTGCGCAATGCACGTGGCAGAATATTTAGCGGGTCCATAGGCTCTTATTTGAACAGATGGCCCTGGTCTGATGTGGAATCTGTAATTTGCAGATTTGCTGATTTATGCTGTCACCATAATAAGTGCAGTCATCCCAGGCGAGCCTTTGGGAGCCCCTGATTGAAGCCTTTAACACTTTTTTATGAGATGTGGTGCAGAGTTAGCTACGTGACACAGTTTAAACGCCTTTGCTACATCAAAGTTCAGCAGGAGGAATGGGGCCAGAAGATCCGTTAGGGCTGCCACACCATCCTCACAACACTCTCCAAAAGTAACCCCACTGATAAATCTGCTGGGGAAGAATTTACACTCACCGTCGTACTGTATGCGTCAGGCCCGTGTCGAAGCATGCCCAAACCAACATGGTCGAACAGGAATGCGTATGCTTTGGAAAATGTCATTTTATCAACTTGCACTTGCACTACAGCGGTTAGGGAGGCGATTTTATAATCCTTTCCTTTCTAACCATAGCCCATGTTTCTGTCTTATTGCTGTGGTAAGATCTCATTCATCATTTATATCATACCACACAATGGACAGGAGATTTTTATCATGATTTTGGTCCTGGTTTTAACCCTAATAATCATAACTCTGCAAGCAAGGGTCATCCATCACAAGCCATTGGTATTCAATTCAGTCCCATCTCCAGGCTGGGGGACTGTTATTATTACCTTTTCTAAATTGTGACTTTTGTCCCAGCTGCCTCATGCTCATTGGACGGATAGGCTATGTAGGTGGGAGGGGCTCAGCGCTAGATGACTATCTGGCCTTTATTCATACAAAATGCTCTTAATGAGGGGCAGATGGCAGCGGGGGGTGTATAGGAAGGTTTGGACCCCGGCCAGAAATACTTCCATCCCAGCATGCCCACATTAATTATCCTCATTGATAAAGTGCTGCTTTCAAGATGTGTGTGTTGTGTGTGTTTGCGTGTGGTAGTGATCGTAGAGTCTCAAGTAACTGTTTCCATGTATACCCATTACAGTGATCTGCTCAATGATCATTGGAGTTAAAGAGGATTTCTTGCCATTTCACTTCTCATTTTCCAACCATTGAATCACAGATAGAGCAACTGCATGGTGTATGATGCTGCCAATGTGTCAAGGATACTTAGAAAAAGTCTATTTGTGGACTGGATTTGTGACTGAAGACACATAGTGTGCCCTATGCCATGTACAGCATAGTGCGTGTGTGCTGCTGCGTGTGTGTAGGCTTGCGTAGTATCTGCTTTGAGGGCCGAAGTCAAAGAGAACTTTGAGCTCCCCCACTTCCCCTTTCATGTACTCCCCCCACTTATTATTAGTGAGGCATGCTAACAGGCCTGAGTAAGTTCAGCATGTGGCCTGCATCAGAGCTAAAGATCTCTTTCTTTCTCTTGAATCCAGACTATATGGACGGAGAGGGGGACTGGAGTGACTGGACTGCCTGCAGCGTCACCTGTGGGAACGGCAACCAGAAGAGAACCAGGTCATGTGGTTATGCCTGCACAGCCACTGAGTCAAGAACTTGTGATATGCCCAACTGCCCAGGTAAAGAACGCATTATTGGATATTGGAGGATATTTTGTAAGTGCTCAAGTTGATTTCTTCTATGGATCCATTTTGATGGTGTTTTCATCTCTCTAAAAGGTATTGAAGATGCCTTCAAGACAGCAGCTACTGAAGTGAGCCTGTTAGCTGGAACCGATGAGTTCAATGCCACGGAGCTCTTTGGCGTTGGTAAGATTTTGCCTACTCTTGTCCTAGCACACTTTCCGTAACTTAAATGTCCTTACATTATCAAAGTTGATTCATCCATCTGGCAGTAGCGCTCCTGCACACACTTACTGGGCAGAGATGAAAATGAGCAGCAGGGCAGGAAGAGCAAAGTATGCCTGTGCCCTCTTTTTCTTCTTTCTCGTAACCAACCCAGTGAAAACACACCTTTATGTTAAATATATCACCTTCTCACAGTTTCATCTTCTTAGCCTATGAAGGAGTATTTATAGTGTCTTCATTTCTTGCAGACACAGACAGTTGCGAGCGATGGATGAACTGCAAGAGCGACTTCTTGAAGAAATACATGACCAAGGTGGCAAACGACCTTCCCAGCTGCCCTTGCTCTTACCCCACTGAGGTGGCGTACAGCACCGCCGCCGTACACGATGTTCCCACGCAGCGAGATTTCCGCTGGAAAGATGCCAGCGGGCCAAAAGAGAAGCTGGAGATCTACAAGCCCACGGCCCGTTACTGCATCCGCTCCATGCTAACACTGGAGTCCACCACGCTGGCAGCTCAGCACTGTTGCTACGACGACAACATGAAGCTCATCACTCGCGGCAAAGGAGCCGGCAGTCCCAACCTCATCAGCACAGAGTTCTCAGCTGACCTGCATTACAAGGTGGACATCCTTCCCTGGATCATCTGCAAAGGAGACTGGAGCCGCTACAACCAAGCCAGGCCGCCAAACAACGGGCAGAAGTGTCCCGACAACCCTCAGGACGACGACTACTACAAACAGTTTGAAGAAGCAACGGAATTCTAGCCGGCTGCGAAAATGTTCAGCTAAACCTCAATGGTACAGTTTTAGATCCAATAACACAAGAACTTTTAGGCTCTGAGGAACAAGACTTTTTTGAACAAAGAGGAAGGAAAATCGTACAGTCAGAACACTTATTCGCTCACAAAGAACTTTTCTTGACTTCACCAAAACCAGTCAGACGACGTTGCTCGTTTTAGTTTTTTTTACAAAATATGCCTCTGAAAAAAAGTATTTGCGTCACCAATAATAACTCTCACAGATCTGGTTAATAAAGGGAGAACCAAGTTTGTATTCTTAAAAAGGGAAAATTATTATTCCAGGAATGTTCGTTTAGATTGTGTCCATGTTCGTCTCCATAGATTGTTTATGTTTGGTGAATCTGAGAGGCCTGTGGTAATAGAATAATGAGATCCTTCAGGAATGTGTTGGGTGGGGGGGGGGGGGGGGGGGGTGTAGCAGAGAACAGGGTTATCTAATTTTCTCCCGGTTTGTCATCCACAATATCCAGGTTCCCATTGTAAACTTGTGAGTCTATTTAGCATGCACATTCTTTTCAAACCATACATTTACCACCATGTCCCTTGTGTCTCTGAGGCAGATCCTTATTGTAAAAAGCCTGCATTATTTTTGTAAAGTATTTATTAAGTTGTAGCTGTGTCTGAGTTGGGTGTATATGACTGTGGTTTCCGATTCACATATGGCTGAATGCTTACTTGAGACTCCTCTCTTGCTCAAACTGTGGCATCAATGTGAGTAGTCATACCTCAAGTAAGGATTAAACCGTAATTGAGCGTAAAGAATGTGTAAATTCAACTGTATGGAAAGATTTTTTGAGATATAAATCTATAAATAAATTTGAAAAACCCAATGAATGTGTTGCTAGAAAAACAAATCTCTGCGTGTATGATCTTCATGGAAAATATCACTTATAGCTTGTACATTAACACTATTCCAGGCAAGGTTTAATCAGCTGCTATTGGGTTTCTCTCCTGCTGTCGAAGGAAAATTCATCTGCATGAAAAATCTCATCGATCAAAACTCCTCCACGGGCTTAAGCCAGTGCACAAGACTTCCATTAGTTCCATCCAGTGTGGCTCTGAGGCCAGGTCTTTTGATGGGATTGTGATATTTCTTCAGAGGGCGAGGAGGGTAATGTTCCCTTGAATGCGACTCAAATTCTTTGTCTTTGGCATGTATCCTCACATTCCTGGGTAATTTTTTTCAGTGTATGTACACACACACACACACACACACACACACACACACACACGCACACGCACACGCACACGCACACGCACACGCACACGCACACACACACACACACACGCGCACGCGCACTGCTGCCTGTCGGTAGCAAGGACCTCTGACCATTCCCTCTCCGCTGAGTGCTGCAGTCATTGTCACACAGAGAAAGCCATTCATGGTGCCCTCATTCCTGCAGTCTTGTGTACGGCACAGCTGGCCGGGTGCAGGGCTTGTCTTTATAACGCAGCAGGCCCCAGCACGTTCCACACCTCAGAGGCACTGCTTGCAACCGCCTAGTCGCTTCCCTATTCATACAAAATTCCTCCATGCGCATCTTTCGTTCCATTTATCTCAAAATCAGCCTTTTAGCAACAACCTGCACTCAAACCCTCACTGTAAATCACGCAGATATGTTCTTTTAAAACGTAGATAAACTCCGTGCTATCACTTAGTGTGTAAAGCTCTCTTCTGAAGTCCCTCTCTCCAGTAAAAGCATAGTTCAAGGCTAAGATTACAGTAACTGACGTGGATGGTTATCTTTGCGGACCGTTTGCAGCACAGGCCATGAAGATCAAAGCAGGGTGTTCGTCTTTATTCTAAAGCATTAGGGCCAAGCTAAAATTGATGACATACCTCCACCACTCCCCCCCCCCCCTTCCCTCCGCCCCTCCGCCCATGGTATCTCTTCTCCAGACAGGCTCCACGTGTCTCGAGAGCAGGCAATTACTCGTACACCGTCCTCACTTTTCATCTCTCATTTCATCTCCCCCTCCCTACTGTGCCATTGCGAAGGTAGGGATATAGATTCATTACGGAGTGTAATTTGGTGTGAACGTGTATGAGAGGGCAGAGATACTGCAGACAAGCGAGTGCAGAGAAAACTTGTTGGTTGTGGTGCGTCAGTGAGGCCTCGCTTTTGTGTTACTATTTCCAGGACTCTACTCTGGCATGTTTCAAAGGATGCAAAGCACCATATTAGTGGTATATTCTCAAGGATCCGAAAGGGCTCATTAAGCATCACCAAGATATGATTGTTGGTATTTTGCCTCTATTTTTGTTATGAGAAGGAAATTATGTCCAATGTACTTGCGCAGTTTGAGATGGAGTTTGACGGGCCTGGCTGCAGGATTTCTCAGCAGATCTCCACACATGAGCTAACTATGGGAAAAAGGAAAACAAGAGAAGTTAAAAAAGCAGGAGAAAGCAGTGGAAACTTGGATGTGTTAAAGTTGGAATGAATAAAAGGAAAGCTCAGCTGAAAACATTCAAATAAAACAAGTCCAGGTGGTATTGTTGTCCACACTGGAGCTCACTGTAGGGCTTCTAGGTAAGAAACCGCGGTGCATGGTGGCAATCAGGCATCTCTTTTGTTTTGTGGTGTGGTGCAGATGTGGCGGTGCCATTTTTAGCCTCTCTCTCACTCACTTTCTTTCACTCGCTCCCTCGTGCTGCTCCTTTTTGGGTGGTGTAGCACAATGCAGGAAGTGTCTGGGCCGCAATACCGCAGGGCTCTTACTGCACGGCAAACCTAATTAAAAGGTTTTTCTTTGCTCTTCTAATCTGGAATAGCTGACCTGGACCGGGAGGTTGCTTATCTAACCACTCTGTCCCTCCCTCTCCACATTCACCCCCAACGTCCTACTGGTAAAACTGGGATGGGGCTGCTGGCGATCTGCCTGCCATAGGCGCGCACCTTTGCACACTGAGACAGGGGAGGAGTGGATGGTTGCAGCAGAGGGGTGCACAGCTGAACAAACAGGTCAAGTAGCTGTGAAGCATCTGAGAAGGCAGGGTGTTTTACTTAACCCCTGCTGCCAGGAAATCGCTGAGATACTCTCACAAAGCGCATAACTCTAATCCACTTTGACCATGCAATTAACTTCCCCTTAATTGTCACCTGTCCATGGCTCGTTTCTTCTACACCAGTTGAAATAAAAGCTAAAATAACACACACCCGCTCATAAATCCACAAGCAAAGCTGTCGGACAAATGAGGACAAACGGAGGGGGGAAATTAAAATCTGCTTGGCCCCCTCATAAAAGAGTTATTATATTCAGTCATGCTTTAAATTGAGCTATGACTAATGTACCACCACGTTTTATATGCTCATGTGTCCCCAGAAGTAAATCAGTTTCACTCAAATGCAATTTCTCAAGGTGAGAGATTTCTGAGTTCTGAATCTTCTTGCTCGGTTTGGCAAAGTCAGCCCCATACACTGTTTTGCTTCTTACCCTTAATGTGTTGTTGACACTGACACTGTAACGTGTAGAGAGGGATTGGTGGCCCTTCTGTGGTGAGGGAGGGGGGTAGAGGGGGTCAGAACAACATGGAAGCGGCATAGTCGTGATTCAGTGCGACAGCAGCGCCTGGCATGTGAGGACAGCAGGCCAGGCGGGCGAGGCTGCTGCCTTTGATCTTTATTTGCTCCACCGTCTGTTTTGCATTTAAGAGCCTTGCTGAGCGCGAGGCATTGGATACACCTTGAATGGTTCAGGACCCCGTCCCCTTTTCAAAGACCCAGGATCCTTTTTCAAAGCTGAGGGGATCGGGGACAGAGAGGGATGATGTTTGAAGGAGAAGGTTCTGCGCTGAATGGGGCAGAGGGTCTCCCGGCAACACAGATTAGCCCTGATGAAAAGAGAGGGCTCTGTAATAACACATGATCAAGCTAATGGAGGATGGTGTGAGTGTGGGTGAGGGGCAAGGTAACCTACCCTTTTTTTTTTAAAGATCAGGGTCAACCCAGGGGTCAGGGGGCTGAGGAACAAAAACAAACATGTGCAGCAGCGACCCTATCATCCCTCTGCTGCTGCTCCTGACCTGTCAGATACATTTTGCAGGTCAGTGATGTCAACCGACTGTGACATCTTACACCTGAGAGGCAAAGCGGCATCATCACGTGGTCCTTTCCCAAAACCAGGCATGGAGCACTGACAGGGAGGCATCTCTCCCTCTTCAAACGGTGCATATATTTATCTTCTTGAACATCTCTATTGCACATTCCTCCCTGACACTACAGTGGCCACGGTCCAGAGCCGGCAGCTGGACATACTCTTGCTCTAGAAAGACTGATACAATTGATATAAATAACTGCCCTTTCCAATAAGAGCCACTTTGAGGAATCAATCAAATTAGAAGAAAAAAGTATTTTGAGAGAAACAGTGGAGGATGAAAATGTTGGTTATGTAATCCAGAAAAAAACTGAGGCTCAGAAACGGAACATGTAGTTTGTCTGTGTGGGAGGGAATCACAACACACAATTTATTTTGATATAGTCATCGAGGTTATTTAACAAATACAGACTCATGTTGAAATGTTCCTGCATGCTCACACGTCCTTCTGCAGAATTCTTTCCCACTCCAGTTCCTGTCAAACATGTAATTTAATCCCAGACTATAAATGTTTTAGCAGTCCACAAATCTGATCATGACGTTTATTCTGTCTGTTTACGCAAACTGCTTTCTTTTTCTGGAAAAGTTGACGGACTCCGTCTCGTATTGTGGATTTTCAAAGACAAAGATAGACACAGAAATTGTAGCAACATAGATTTTATTTACTTGTTGAGCACTGTAGAGAGCTGTGCACATGTTAGCATAGCTTATACCATTTTATATTAGTTGCATTTTCAAGTAAAGAGTAAACAAGCACGATTATGTTTTTTGTTGAGACTGGAAGTCAGCAGTGAAACAGCAAAACCAGAGGCACTGGTTATCAGAAATGTAGACCCTTACTTCTGTCAAGTACTATTCAACGGCACCAATTCATGGGTTTTTATACATAAATTACTTTTTAAGGATCTTTTTTAGCAAGAAAATACGTCTCTGTCGATGTGACTAAACAAATATAAATTGCGATTTTTTAAATGATGACTAAGTCATGTTTGGAGGTGGGATCAAATGCTGCTACCTGAGCACTTTGTATGTTTATGTGTCAGCATCATTCTGGAAGTGCATAGCTTGCTCCTTCTTTATAACTTTACACCTGTCAGAGAGGCTTTCTGTACATTTTGCATCATGCATTAGCTAAGTATTCACATTGTAAAACAATAAAAGCAAAGCATTCTATGGCTGAAATAATTATACAATTCATCATTGACTAAGATGCACATTATGCTACATGTTACAGTATGTTGGAGGATTAATAACGATATGTGTACATGGAAGTACATGTGTATGTGTTTACATTGTACATTCCTTTAAACTCTCACAGCTATAAACGCTTCACTCAACAATAACCTCGAGTAGCAGACATTCCACAAGGTGCATTGGAATAAAATAAGGTCTTGCTTTTTAAATTCCTAAATGCTTGAAAAAGTCACATCTGTTCAGCGTTACAAAACATGAACATCCACCCTGTTTTCCTAAACCATAACTTATGTACAAAAGGAACACTAGGTTACTTGATAACAGTAAGAAAAAATGCATCAAGGCAATGGTGCATCAAGTCTAATCCAGGTGACACTGGAGCGTGTGGGGAAGTTGTATAGAGAACATGCTGGAGGCAGACATTGGCAAAGGGAAGTCCTGTAAGTGCACTAAGTAGAAGCGAACACCCTCCCTCCTCGGCACCTGTTAAAACACTAAAGCATATTACTTCTGGCATCACAAAGGTGGTGGGGAGGTGAGGGCGGTGTGTGTGTGTGTGTTAGGTGGAAGGGTTTTGTGTTGGAGTATTGCTCACAAAGCCCAGAAGGAGGGCAAATGCGGCTCACTCCGCCACGCTCATCAGTCGACACACACCGCCTTCGATGGCCAAGCACTGTCCAGGAACGGTCCCAGGTGGCAGTCTGGATATGTGTGTCTGCAGGCATCAAAAACAAACACAATGAGAAGATTACCAAAGGAAAGATGTACATACAGAGAAAGACTTCATAGGGTAAGGAAACGCTAACAGGCTGTTGAACTCTTGGATTCCAGTAAATAGAAAAATAATAGCAACTGAAAGGTCCCCTATTATACTCTTTGTCATCAATATAGTATAGGTCTCAGATATATACAAAACATGTCTCTGAAGCGTTTGGCTCCAAATACCAAACAGATCGTGCATTGTAGCATCCCATAATCCCCTCTGTTTCAGCCCTGTTTCAAAAGTGCTGATTCTGTCTGTTACTTTAGATGAAAAATAAGGAGCCACTCCCCACGCCCCTCTGAGATATTTGGTTAAAAAGAACACAATGGTGCTCTAGGAGGAGATTCAGGTGATAAGGTGGGCAGGTGTTACCTTGGTTGGTGATTGGCTAATGGTTACACAACCCGAAAAAACATTTATGACATCATAAAGTGGCCAAAATCTGATCAGCTCATTTTCAGACGGGCTTTTATAAAGATGGACCAGGACAAAAAGAGAGGGGGTCTTTGTTCTTTGAATCTCTTAACACAGAGGGGACACTTATTTATGTATAAAGGACATGAAAAAGTGGATTTTGCATAATAGGTTACCTTTAACCAATATATGTATTGTTTTGATAAGATTAGAATGCAAAGAATATCAGAAAATGTGGTTTTTAGCCTATGAAATGGTAATTTCCTGGTGTTATTATTGTAGACACCACCTTTAATTAATCAATAATGGCATAATATTACATCGCAGTAAAAGTTGAGCTATTTTAGCTTTTTACCAGAGACTACGTTTTTTCTTCTGCTACAGGTCTACACTTCATCGGGACCCAAGCTATGCCAACATGGAGAACAAGGAAGTTCTTACCTATTTGCTTGACAAGTATGGGTGTAGTTTAAAATATTTCAATAGCATTTAAAAGGGTGATACATTCAACACAGCTAATATATTTGGTGTATAGAACACACATAGGACTAGTACTCTTGCATAATGGGCATATACCCCTAAAGTCTGAAGATGCCAAGTGAGTATTTATAGAGAGACAGAGCAAGTGGATGAATGGAACAGACTGCTAGTGTTTCTTTGCTCGAGCAGAGAGGAGTAAGAGGAGTAGGAAAGGGGCAAACACAGCTGTGAAGACGGGAGTGATGCTTCAACAGGGGGATCAAAGGTGGCCGACTCTCTTTGAGCCAATAATGGCCATCATCCTCCTTCCTCTCTCCACAGAGGGCAACGCTGGCTCCAGCTTTGGGAGAAGAAGAGTCCAGCCACTCATTTACCAGGCCTCTGAATTGGCCTGACATTACTCTTCCAGTGGCAGGAGCCTTCATCTCCACAGGGCTTCTTTTTGTGTAGGCTTGGACTATGGCCCCCTGGCACCCCGAGGGCAACTGTCACTACAATGGGACATCAGCCAGACAAGGCCAAGCACACATGGCAACAATCTCAGGGGCTATTACGCCTCCAGAACCCCTTTCTGGGTTCATCCTCTCCCCTTCATCTTCTAAAAATGAGGTTAAAGGAGGCCTTGTTTAAACTGTCTTGACTGAAGGTCCATAGCTGAGACTTCATCAACTAATGGTGACATGTCAAATGTTTTCCTTATGATGTTTGCTTGTCAGAGGGAAGGAGCTTTGCAATGTTCTTTTAAATTCCAACCACATTGAATACACAGCTGAAAATACACTACTGGGCACAATTAGCGCTTAGCTGTATGACTTCATATATTTTGCAGGAAAACTTGACACCAAATGTGCCCTAACCCTCACCCCTACGCGCAACCCTGCAGCATATGTTAAGACCTTAATTTTTTTTATTTCCGTCTGGAAAAAATCGGTCAACTTGAGTGACTAAGCAGGAAGAGAAAGACGGCTTACTAAACCAAACAAGAGAGTAATTACACCACCGCAGTGCTAAGAGCATCGCGTGCCTTTCACAAGCCGCCACGCTATTTCAGAAGTTTACAGGTTGCGGGGGGGACAGTGGTGAGGATGAGCAGTGCTCAGAGGTCACACAACAGATGTCCCAACACTTCTGTGACATCAAGTGGGCCAACATCACACAAATAATGCTGAGGCCTTACGTGTAAACACTGAATAAAAGTGAAAAGTGTTAAGAACACACATAGGAGTAATAATGTTGCACCTTTACTCTTTATACTTGTTCATTAGTCTGCAGGGGACACGCAATAGTAAAGCTTTTCCTTATTTTCTTGGTGATTCTTTAACCATTTGCAAAACAACACAGAAGGCTACTAATTAGAACTTTGGCTGGTCATTACCTGAAAGACATGTTTTTGCTTATTTCAATGAGTGATGGTAGCCAAAGAGATATGTTATACTTCAATCATTCAATTATTATTTTTGTACCTTGAAAGTTTTTTTTTGTTTCTCTTTGTTATAATAATAATAATTATAATTATTATTGTCGTTTGTTTTATTTCTGACATGTTCAATAAATTGACTAATACAAAATTAAAAAAGAAATCACAAATTCAATCGAACTTATAAAATTCAGATTTTTACTGATTTTAACATTGTCTGTTGGTGGGTCGGATTAACATCTAAGCATCTCCTTTACAATTTACCGAATCTTAACTCCAATTTACTATTGAACTGAAATATTGTAATGTAAAAAGAAAGCCAGGAGAAAATAAATGTATAATATATGATAGATGGGCTCCATATGAAGACACGCAAACCTACAGTGAGTCAGATGTCAACTCCAAACTCATTGACTGATGTTACCACATGACAGGCCTACGACAAATATAACGTGGAAAACGCAGCTCCATTGTATCCGTCAGAGAAAAACAACATTCTTTGGTGATATGTGTTTAGGAGCTGGCGGAGCCACACATTAACACCACAGCAGAGGAGAAATGTATCTCTTTCACTATGCCACTATTCTAGTGTTGTGGTTTTCACATTCTTGTCTTTTTTAAATAAAAAAACAATCATATTCTATTTATTCTCAACACGAATGATAGTAAAAAGAAAATGCACCATAGTAAAATACATTTGTCCTGTATTACACAAAGCAGACAATAACCAGGAGGCTGCGTTGCATGCCCTTTGATTTTCTTTGGCCTTTCACAGTTTCAGCGAGCTTTATAGTGGTAATAATGTCCTGGTGGAGGGATCTGAGCCATGGCGGCGGTGCTGTGGATCCTACACTTCTCTTTCATCTGTCCAATCATGAAAAACAATAAAACAAAAGTCTAACTGTTTCAGAAGCGCCGCCACTGGCCCGCTCGCGCAGCTTTGTGTAGTTTTATAAAACGTGGCTCGGTGTTCTGATGTGCCGTCCAGTGCAAACACAGGTGAGCGTTTGAATGAAACCAGATGCTCTCTCTCTCTGCAGCACTTGTGCTTCATGGCGATTTTACAATGTAATGTCAAAAAGATTATAATACATACTCAACTTTCCCTAAAACAGTATCTGATTGAGAAGTAATAAAAAGCTCAGAAGAACTGCCAGTAAAGTGTCTGAAAGAACTGGTCTGACATCCAACACATTTTGGACTCAAGTTCACTGTTTCCTGGGTTTATGGAACGGTTTTTTGTCAAAAGAATTATACATGTACAAATCTGAGAATGAAAACACTGTGAAGGAAAGGTGGATGGACAATATTAAACCAGCCTGACTTCTGTCCTGCTACTGTGTATCAGCCCTTTCATGTTCTTATCACGGTGAGGCAGTGGAAGATGGACTCTGCCTGGTTAGAAACGCCCAGTGGGATGCTCACAGGAATGGGAGGAATGTCTGAGGAATAGCAAATGAGGCAGTGGATGGCTCCAGCTCTAAATTCAATCTCTGCAACACTGAGCACAGAAAATGTAATGTGTATAACCAAGAATAATTCTCAAGCAACGAAGTAAGAGTTCAAGGGGAACTGTCCTTTTTGGAAAGTTTTCATCGGCACATATTTTTGACCAAACACAGTCAAGGAAGTCCCTATTGGAAGAATTTGTTTTACACTGCTGGTTTGGCATTCAGCATCCCTTATACACTGAAGAAGACTGTCTATGAATCTGTCATCAATGCCATGGACATGCAGGTGCCACCTCCTGGGCCTCCATAGTATTCAGATCAATTCCTAGACTGAGTTAACAGACAACAGACATCATGACTGGAGCCTAGTCGCATTATGGGTTTCCATCTCTGGCTCACCAGATTGGAGAGAAAACAGATGCTCTCTTATTGAATCCCCTCAATGGACGACATTTTGGCAGGGAGCGGGGGCCAACTCTGGGCTCAGCTGGGGGACAAACGGGTAAAAAGCTTGTTTGCACCCAGTGTGGAGGCGTGAAGGACAGAACAGCCAGCTTCTCTGGTATGCTGATGATGAGAGCCATGGAGGCTCATGGGAGCTTGGTAGAGCAGTGTGAGGTTTGGTGGAGCAGCTGTGTATCTCGACTTCACTCTCCAATATCACCGTGTCACCAGTGCCCCGCTGAGAGGGAGTGGATACCGTGTTCCAGGAGATCCAGAAACCACTGCTGACAGATGATATTCCTGGATCTTCATCCACTGAACACAGTTCTTCATGCAAAAAGTGCTTACATTAATGCATGTGGGGTGCCCAGTTTGAATTTAAGGGCATGCAAGTGCCTAAGTGTGCTTTTCTGCTCCTCTGTAGTTCTTCACACTGTTTTCTAATATATGGAAGGGCAGCTTGAAGCACTGTGGTAAAAGGAACATTTTGTGGAACATTGGGAGAATAAATAATATATTCTTCCTTTACTTGACTATTTAAAGTCCACAATTTCTAGTTAGTATATAGGTGACCAACTTCTCCTCTATCACCTAGTTAATTTCACTATATCACGAGTCCAAGGACAGTAAATGTAATCCCTTGCACATTCAAATTGGAATTCATTTTTATAAACAGCACATAGATACAACTGCACTTCTGCACATTTCACTGTCAATCATTGATTTGTTGCATGTCTCATGACGGTAGTGCGAGAAATGTGCCACCAGAAATACCACACCCCTGCTCATGCTTGCTTAACTTCCAATGAAATACTAATTTTCTAGCAACGTAAATAAAAACAAAGTGTTTGGTGGTTGAAGCGCCCCTGCACAGTGCACAGTCAACTGTGTTCTGCTCACCTCTTGACGTTGGCACAGGCGTGAAAAGGGAGCTTGCTCACATTCCACCTCAAATCCCAATACACAGAGCACATCTGACAAATATGCAGATTGATACTGATATTCCCCGTGGTGCATGACTTTCAGTAAACATTAAAGTACTTTTAACCAGGTAGGGGCAGAGAGGGGGACTGACGAGAGAGATTGACCAAGGGACGGGGGAGAGGGCTGGTGAGGGGGCGGGGGAGGCGGCACAGAGGGCAAACACTTTGAAATCTGAACCCGGCAGGAACAACAGTGCCTTCTCTTTATGCAGAGTGACAGAGATACATTGCCAAACAAATCAGTCAGGGCCGAGGCTCCATTTACAGCCAGAGGGCCAGAGCATCAAGCCATGTTGCTAAAGAAGCCACATTGACTGATTCAAATAGCACTTCTATGTGCCAAGTGGCTATGCAAATTATTTTTAGAAAGTAAGGGACCTGTCAGCCAACACACAGGCAGCCTAATATATTCTTGAATTATTTGTCTTTTTTCTACAAGACTATAAATGTTACGTATAATTGAAAGAGTTACGAGTACCATAATCCAAAACCTACAGCATACCAACATGACAGCAGGCACAGGTGGAGCAGAGGCAAAATCCCTACCCACGCCACAGTGACTTGGGGTGGCCTTGGATTGGTTGTGCCATCCAGTGACCAAAAACCTTCAGTGTATGAAGGGAAGCTGGTGAGGGAGTATGTACCTGTTGCTATACTAGCTACTGCTTAGGAATGGGCAGTGGTGTCTGGTGAAGAAAGCATTAACCTGTCTGTATTTTCTCACTTTGACTCTCCCCCAAGTCAACAGTGGAGTTAGCATGTTCAAAACCTGCAGTTTCTCAAGACTTTGATATAAATGGTGAGGAAAAATGCAGATTTTTGTTAGCAAAAAGTAGGATGACTGGCTCATGCAGGTGAATTGAAGGAACAGAGACAGCTTAGTTGTAAGTCAAAAGAATACCAGGCCCATCATATAAGCAGCAACACCCTACTTTGTGTAAGGAACCAAGTTTATAACATACTTGTTTCCAACCAAGCTGTCACCATGAACTCAAACATTCCAATTCATTTAGCTTGTCAAGCTAATTGTGACGCTCACCTTCGCCTTGCTATCTTGGGCAGACATGTAGCCAACACACATGCTCTCTGTGGTGTGACTCCATAGGAACTCCACTGTGAAAACACAAAGCAAAGGATGATTAGGACAGGAGAAAATGAATAAATGTAAACAAACATTTTAAAAATGAACAAATATATAAATAAGAAAAGCAAGGGAAAGAGTGAGGCTAGGGGAGAGGACAAACTCTTACAAAACACAAGTTCAATTTCACAAAATAAACCAAAATCAAGAGCATTTTCTTCTGCCAGTAAAAGGTTTGGCAGGAGACTATGTGTGCGAAACTGCGATAAAGTCTGAACATGTTCATCATCGTGAAAATATATGACTTGCAGTTGTGACATAACTGCAGAGGAAGGTAACACTTTTGAGTTGTGAGAAGAAATTACAGCCCCCAACGATGTGGTTGACATGCTGTTTATGCTTGTAAATCAACACGGAGCCCTTCACTTTCCACAGTAATCTGAGGGTAAGCATTTTATTATTCTGTCCGACATAATGTTTAATCAGAATAGCGCTTCTCTAGTTATTTACCATCATGATTGATTTGTCATTAAGATTTCCCTTTCTACATTGGAGAAACATCTGCTTTACTTTTATCGGTGAACTTGAACTCATCTACTGGTTTCTTTCGAGCTGACGGCTTGCTACACATCATGTTGAAATGACCACAAAAGGGCAACATTACAACCCAGTAGTTAATGATGTGGCCGTAACTCTGGACGACCTTCTGATTAAGTCAGATTCAATGATTGTTGAAAGGTTCAGAAGCTCCAGGTAGAGAAATGAGATCCTCAAATACAATCAGCCAAACTGGGCAGCGTTCAAAAGGGCTTCACTTGAAGAAGATTAGCTGTTGATTCCATAGTGGGAGGTCTGTTTGAATCTGAGATGAAGGGTGTGAAACCAGAGCCTGATTGTGCGAGTTAAAACACAGACCACCCTCCAGGAAAGCCGCAGTGCCTACTCCCCCCCCCTCCTCACGTCAAATCTGATGATGGATTTTTAAATATTAACAGCCAAATATCTGCATACCACAAGCTGCAGGGTGGAGGTTTGAGCTTGATCATTGTTGAAATGATTTATGTCTCACCCAGTATACCCTGAATATTTTGAGATGGCGGAGATTCCACACATCTGCAGCAGCGCAGGACAATTACTCCACCCAACACACGATCCTCACCGGCCAGGAAGGGTGAGCCTGGACACACAAAGAAAACACCACACATGAGACACATAAACATTAATGTTAAAAATGACAGTCTTGTATACTTTAACTCTCCACCCTAACACAACCAAGCAAAGATAACAAGTGAGAAAAACTAGACAAAACACAGCCATTTTAATCCAATTAAGGTGATCTATGAGAACAAACTCCTTCCATTTTAGTGTTGGCAAAGTTAAACAACTGAAAGCAATTATTCGGCTGTATTTATTTTATTTAACAATATAAAATATGCCACTCCATTTGTGTGGGGTAGGTTTAAGCAGATAATGACAAGTAGTGTATGTTTTCCCACACTGCATACACTGTACCATCATTCATTTAAAGAAATCACCCAGCTATATAAAGACCTTTGAGAAAAAGACAAATGTATGAATGTAGAATAAGAACCTCTCTTTCTTCCCGATTAAACTTAAGAAGAGGAAAACGGAATGAGGTGTTTTGTATATAAAAAGAAAACTTGGATTAGCTGATAATTGAGGGGTAATATAAAACAAAAAGTGGTTAGTTTTATAAAAGAACAAAGAGAAAGCAGCTACAGCATGAATTGAATCGTCTCCACACAGTAAAAGGAACAATGTGTGCATTGGATGGAAAAAATGTTGTGTCTGCCTGCTGTTGTTTCTTTTTTACATTTCACGCTAATTTTGGTTCCATGTCGTAATGTTTCTTACACTCTATAAAACTCTTGAGTGTAGCTTGGACGACATTCACAAAAAGGCTCTTAAATTAATTTTGTTACACATTCCTTAATAACTCGGACATCTTTGCATGCTGTAAACATGAGAGCAATTGAATTATTTTACAAAAAGAAAAAGAAAAGAACCCAGCTTGATTCAGCTATTCTTGAGTGTGGATACTTGTTAGCTTGTGTATGTACAGAATGAGAGGTACTGTAAAGACAAAAATATCTAAAAAAAACCTGAAAGTGTTGCCGTTGAAGATATTCTATTTTGAAATGAAGACAAATATATCCTGGAAGTTGAGTGAGAGGCCTCCACACCACAGACACTGCCATCAGTGCAGGCAGGATTTATGGAGCTTTGTTTGACTTAATGTGCATCTTGAAAGGAAACAGCAGGAGAATTAACTTCAAATTGACTTCATCCAGCCCGTCCAAACGTCTGGGTGTTACAGATGTCCATGACAAAGCCAAACAGAGACGGACTTCTAAAGGGGGCCAAAACAAGGCAGAAACCACCACATGTTTCCACATGTCCTTTCTTCCTCTGCTCTGTTTTCTCTGAGCTCTAACAGTGGTCATTCACAGGCGAGCCTAACACAGTTAACAAGAATTTCTTAAAACTGACCACTTCTGAGAAAATGTGGGAAACAAAATACACAACTTCACATGAACTTTCAACAAAACAATTTATGTTTTCCAAAACCATCTTTGGATGTCATCTGTCCTTCGTGGCCCCGTTTAGACAGTGTAAAATATCCATAAATCAAAAACCGTCTCGTCCAATTTCATTATTTCCAAGTTTCCATTCTTGATGTTATGAAATATCTATTAGATGCAGGTCTCCCTCTGTGCATAATTATGTTTTTTCGCAAACACATTCTTAGCTTACAAATATGTGTGTATGGAAAGTAGTGTCTACATATGTGTGACTCACTGATGAATTTGTTTTGCATAGCCTCCAGCAGTGCTTTGTGGGCATCTTCAGACTGCAAGGCAGCAGAGCATTCCCGTGCCAGCATGGTGCGAATCAGATGCTCTCCACAGCCTGGCAAAAGACACAGACACAGTTAAATCCCTTATCATTAACTTGCATTAACTCATTTCTTTGTTGCTAGCATGCATGCCTTCAATAAGAAATGCACAAGTTTACTTTCAGAGAAATGGCAAATGTTTCCAACATATAATGGAAGACACTACACATTTAAAAGATTCCCAAATAATGTAGTACTGCTGCAATCCATTTATTATCTTCTCAGCAGCATGAAATCTTTATTGGCTTTAATATTTCAGGTAAAGATGACAGCACACAGGGGCTACCAAGTAAAACTGCCTTGCTCAAGGGCAGACTGACAGTAATTGCTGAGGGAGGGTTTGTGTTTCCCATCAAGCTTCTCTTCCAGGATTCCCAGCTGGTGTGGGAATTTGAAACAGCAGCCACCCAGTATTAATTCCACTTCTGTAAACTCCAGTAAACTCACTGTATAACTGCAGTACGTCAAGGCACACATGAAACATGCATAACCTTTCTATGTAGTCATCCATTTTATATTTTTAGTTTTTTTAAATGTACATCTTACCATTAAATGTAACTGTGTAAGATGATTACTAAGGCTTAAATGGCCAAACTTGAAAAATATATATTTTTTTTAAAGGTTGAGGCAAAACAAGACTTGTATTAGAGCCCCGAGACTAAGACATTAAACATGTGTAGGTAGATATAAGGGACTGCCTGCATGCAAAATACAAAAGTAAGAATTCTATCTCTTAAGGTTGTAACACATTTTTTCTTACAGTCCTAGCAGACAAAGCTGCATAATAAAAAAGAGGTGACAGGAGGATGTACTAGGACATGAATCTATATGCTCTGTAGTTATGCTGCATGCGGTACAAAAATAGTCCAGGGAAACTAAGAAAGCTTTGTTTGAGTATTAAAGCAAACTTGGAAATATCAAAACATGGTCAGCCTGTACAAATGAATCCCCCTCCTTACCTTACATTAAAACATGGCAGGTGTTCCTTTTTACATGTTGGATATTTGCTACTTAATACCTTGTTTAGACGAAAACAGATAAACGTTCTATACCTACAATATAATCTTTCTCAAATTTGAAGTCTGCCCGCACTTCAGAAATCTAAAAGTGCAAACAAAACACATCTGGCAAAAGCTCCCGCAAAACCCCATAAAGACGGAGGAATATAATCTTGTTGTTTCTGTAAAAACAAATGAATGCCTCATAAATATCAGGTAACTACAACAAAACTCAATGCAGGTTGGTAACTGTGGAGACCAGATGCCTGGAGCGATTTGAAGTTCAGTTTTTACGAGAGCAGAACGTCGGATTGGCCAGGTACTGTTTTTCTGTGCTGTGTTTACCATAAACTGCTCTGTCCCAGGAGAACAGGATATTATGGAAATGCAGCAAAATGCCAAGACTGAAGCAGCACCTCAACTGAAGAGAAATGTCAAAAGAAAAGAGGCCAACAGTCGGAGACACAGTGTGTGACAGCCAACAGCAGCAAGAGTAAACAGTGAAGTGCGTGAGCCGTTCTCTCATGGCCTGCAGCAAAGCTAAGCCCAGGCCAAGCAGTCAACACATATAAAACAATGACCCACATGAGGCGCATATTACAGAACACACTAAAATGGAGGGGGTGGCAAGGCGAAGTGGTGTTGAGGTGAAGGAAAGAGAGACTGACATACAGTACAGGGTGAGGACCGGGCTCCTCCAGTCAGAATGAAAAAGGATTGTTTTTCTGTTTCTTTTGATGGAAATGCCTTTCATGTTAGGAAATTAAAAACAGGTGTTGTACTGGAACACACATTATGTTCTCCATACCCATAAGGGAAGCTTTTTTTTGTAACATCAAAGGAAAGCCACAATATAGGAGGACAGGATGGAGGTAGAATTACACACAGAGAGCAAACATCTACACTTCATCTGCTGGGATAATTGATGTACAGTAGACTATTAGTGGCCGGCTTTAACTGCTTGTTCAATGTGATTACAGGATTAAAGGGATTTATCAAATTAAGTAGAAGATTACAAGTGAGAGACCTTTGGTACAAAACTGTCATCATTGTAAATGCACAGAAAATATTTAAAATCACTATTAAGATAGTAAAAAATCATCGGGATTATAATGCATTTAAAAAGTGTCTCAGTTAAAGAGGCCCTATTATGCTTTTTGGGGTATTCTCTTTCCTGTAGTGTGTTATATAGGTTTTTGTGCATGTAAATGGTCTGCAAAGGCTAGAATCCCATAGTTCCCCTCTCCCACACACTCCCCCCCCCTGCCTAAAACGCCAGGATTGTAGTCCTATGTTTTCCTAACGCGACATAGTGACATCACTTGCGCTTCTATTTGCTAGTACTCCAACACATTGTATGCAATTGGTAAGGGGGCGGATGTTTGACCAACTACAACACAGCTGCCCAGCTAACAGAGCAGACTGGTTTCAGACAGAGGGTGAAAAGAGGTGCTGCAGCAGACCTTTCTGAACATTAAAGCAGTTAAACATGTCGCAGTAGAGGCACAGAATACAATTATGAAACCTGAAGATTAGCATTATAGGGCCCTTTTTAATGTGCCAGACATTTTCAGAACTAACAGAGAGATAATGTGTTCTGGGCCAAGATAGCAGATAATGCTTTTGGTCTTTCAGGACTGTAGCTATGATTACAGAATAGAGTCCAAATATTTGTTTTTGTGGCTCACTATTGTTGTTACTCTATCCCACATTTCTCGCTGATTGCCGGTTATAATATATTCAGACAAGCTTTGGCGGTGCAAAACGCTGGGTATCTCAGCGCTCCAAGTACATACGAGTCAAGCTTCAGCCTGTCTGATCAAATCAGCTCGTCTGAACTGAAATGCATTAGGCTACATATCCACATCAAAAAGGTCTAAATGTTCCCCAGAAGCTACAGTATGTCAAAGACGTCTACACATCTTCAGGAAGCGGGCTATTATGGCTTCTGTACCTCACCTTCAAAACCATAGAGCTCACAACCAGAAATGTTGCTTTTTAGCGAATGCATGCACTCTCATTTTTGAGAAACACTAAGGCACGGTTGTTAATATGTTCAAAAATATTGCAACTTGTTTTGAAATGGAATATTGGTCTAGAAATGAAACGTTTTATTTTCTTTTTCTTTATAAGTTTAACATGCCGACTTGTAAAGGCTGAATCATTTTAAATTCCAAAATTCACTAGGCCCTTGCTGCCAACAGTAGCAACACACATTTACACTAGAGAGGTTGTCAAGTGGAATCCCACAGAAACACATTTTCTCACTTAGTCCCGAGTGCTATATAGTCATAGTTCTCTCAACAGATAGTTATTTTGAAACGTTAACATAACCTTTCTTACATAATTCTTATCGGTTAAACTTGGGTTACTGCTTTCGGAACCATATCATTCGGATTTTAATTCTGTGTTAACAAAAACAACCACCTTCATCTTCCTTTTTCTCCTCCGGCAGGAGTTTTAAAAATGGTAGTGTTAGTTTAAATTAGATTCTGATCTCCTAGTTAAACCTCCATAGATTGGTAGAATTAAGGATAAATCCCTTTTGCATGTGATGTTATAAAGTTATCAAGATACCATAACACAAATAGAAACAAAAATAAAAAGCCCTTTTTGTCCTAAATATTAAACACATGGCAATATTTACTTTGGGGGGGCTTTTTTTGCAAAGGTTAGGAACAAACACATTAAAAGATTGACTTGAGACAGCATACTGCATATGCTTCTCATAAGCAACTTGTAACTGATTTAATTTCCAAGGATGATACCACTCATTTAGACCAGCCAAGTTATGATCCAAGGCTAGATAATTACACTTGAAGTTTGCAAACGTATCGTGTTTCTGCTGCACTCCCAGAGGTTCTGCCTATCATATCTACAGCAGGTGTCCCATGTCAAATGTCATTGCAAATCCCAAGAGCTGTGCAATGCACCTGGCACGCAGCTGACGAACGGAGAGTGGAGAATGATGACTCAATCAGCTGAGGAAGTGACTGATGAGAGTCACTCAGCAGGAATGGCTGGAGGTCATCGGAAAGTATTATAAGGCTTTTTGAAGTTTGACTCACCGAGGCTAAATACGGGGCTCACGTCGAATAAATATGTGTTTCGGATTCATATTATCTCCAAAACAAAATGCAGGCATGTGGTAAACAATAACGGTGAGGGGAAAAGTTAGACACACGACTGCAAAGTAGGTTGTAGAGAGTGTGCTGTGGTATACCTGAGGTACTCACTGCTGTAGAGTAAGGGTTATTAGAGGCATTTTCAGCCCAGCAGCCACATCCATAATGAGCAGCCTGAGAGAGAAAAGAGAGGAAATAAATACATTTTAGATGAAGGGGAGTTGTAAAAGTTATAACAATTGTCTTTCTCTTTGAAGTGCTGAAAACATTATTTATTCTCAAATTAGAACTATGAGTAAGGCATGCTCATAGCCGAATATAGAAATGTAAACCTTGTAAAATACAGGCTGGGGTGGTCAATTCAGCCTAATTTACATTTCCACATCATTTCCAACATTAGAACAACATGCCATACTCATGACTCTATTGCTCTGAGCTTCAGGGTTTTTCAACAGTAATAGTGTCAATGAGGTACATCTGATTCATTCACACTTTTGTCTCCATTGTTAGGTTGTTGTTCATGCTAACTCAAACCTTCCTGTAGCTGCCTCAAAGTAAATGAGTCGCAACACACAGAAATATATTTAATGGTATTTGTTGAGTTTGAATTAAGACATGTAGATGAGGACAATCAGAGTGACATTTTTCTGTTGTGGGTCAAATCATTAATTTTCACTATCTGTATTAAAAAGGCAAAAACACACAGTCCTGGCTCATTGTTGTTTAATGGAGTTGTTATTCCCTGTTTACACATCTGGCAGGAACCATCTTTTCATTGACATGTGCTTTTGAACACTTGAAAGCATTCTTGACTTTTGTCACTCTTTCGCCTCATGAAACAGATTGATGCATTTGATTAAATGGTGGAGAAGATTTAAAAACAACGCCATTTCCTTCATTTTAAGTATAAATCAAACTATTTTTGTCCATTAAATGTCTGCCTCCAATCAGCCTGGTGCAGACAGTTTGTCCGGCTGCTGCGGACAGACGGACGGACACACAGACACACAGACAGACAGACAGACAGACAGACAGACAGACAGACAGACGGACACACATACACACAGACAGACAGACAGACAGACGGACAGACACACAGAAAGACAGACAGACAGACACACAGAAAGACAGACAGACAGACACACAGAAAGACAGACAGACAGACGGACACACAGACACACAGACAGACAGACGGACAGACACACAGAAAGACAGACAGACAGACACACAGAAAGACAGACAGACAGACGGACACACAGACAGACAGACCTGTAGAAAGTTGAGTAATTTTTCCCACTGGGTTTCTGGTTAACCTTATCACATCCCACAATATCAGTTAAGACAGTGTACATAAATATTGATTAATGACGTGACGTAATGAAGGCAGGGAAAAACCTATTATTGCATGCAGCATATCATTATAATTTGCCACACTTTTCATAATGGTATACTTTATTAAATAGTATTTCTACAATATTGTACTATAATATTCATCTTAAATAGGACACATTGAAATAATGACATGCCTCTCCAATAAAGGCTTGTTTAAGCGTTGTAAATTATATTATATTATTTGTTCTGTGTAAAGACATGAAAGAAAAGGAGGAGATGGAGCGTACCTGGCCCACCCTGCCCGGATGTTTCATGGCCAGACCCCCACTGGACACTGCCGCAGCTACGTTCCCCTCCGAGTCGACCACCACGGCTCCCACCGTGTCCAGGCACCCTGAACCATTTTCCTACATCACAGTAAAGAGAGGAATCACATCACAGTGAAAAAACCCAAAATACACTAATTCAAATACATTTCAGGCAACTTAAAGGAGATAACATCTGAAATGTTCACATTCTAAAGCAGAGGCATCATCTTTAAATAAGACTTTTCCAAAGTGAACAATGTTATGCATGCATTTTTTATCCCTAATCCTTGCCCTTCACTTTTCATCAAACATGTGCTGTTGTGATTTTAATCAGCTGTTCGCCTTCCCTGATTGCAGTTTCACGACTCCGTGATAAATAGAGTCCTACAGGGTAGAAAGCAGGATACACGATCAGAGCTCCACTCCTACCAGAAACTGAACATCTCTATTGAACCTTGGACTTAAACGCTACAGCGGTTCCCATCTGTCTTAAGCTCTCCTAAATCAACTCTGTCTCTCTGGCTTTTGAGGCCAAAAAGAAGCAGAGCCAACCATTTTGAAATGCTACAAAGAACATCCTGTCATTCCTTATCAGTGTCCTTAAATGAAAAAGAAACATCCACAGTACATTAAATAATGACTGTAAAACTTAATGGCATCGTCAGAATGATTTTGAATTGCTTTAGATTTTCTTTAACAACCCTGCAGCTATACACCATCACGAGACAGGTGCATATATTGCAGAGAAACATTTTTTTTTTTATTGGTTGGCAAAATGACAAAGGCATAAAAAGAACAATGTGTTAAAAAATTAAAACCAGACTTGCTACGATAATGTTTTTTGTTGGGACCCATACGCATTTTTAGAAACAAAATGAGGATATTTCCTTAACAATATGTCCACTAATGTAGAACATTAATGACACATTTTGATAAGGAATTTATTTTAAAACAACCTCAAATCAGCCATGGCTTGCATGTGAACAGTCAGAGTATGAGTTATGTGCAGTTCAGTTGTAGCTTAATTGCTAAAAATGGTCACACATTAATCCTTATTAGCACAAGCAGTTTTGTGTAAACACGTAAGAGACAGATGAGAACAGAGGGCAACTAAAATCTTCATTAGACTAATAAGTCATTTGAGACTCATTCAAAATCCCTTGCCTAAGTCAACATTGAATCCTAGCTGTTACTCTTTCTTCCAGTGTATATATCATTACTATTGTGGATTGATGTAACTGACCTAAACAAACAATAATACTGTTCAAAATGAGTTATAATGAAGCACATCAGGCTTTGGCCATTAACACGTTTTACTTCATTTAACACAAAGCATGTTCGACCCAAGATAAACTCTCCCACCCTGTTCTGTGCTGATGGCACCAGTGACTTTAAAGCAGAATGAGTGTTTTTTCAGCTAATTTCTACTCAGTTGATCATCAACTCCTGCTGTGCTGCAACTTTGCACTAACTCTTGTCAAAACTTGAATCATTTCTTGGTATCCTCTGTGCACCCTTGTAATGCCATTTCCTTTAATGACCCTTTGTGAATGTGAGATCATAAAAGGCAGAATATATCTACAAGTATTAGTTGTGGAGAGTCATTCAATTCCTTTCCTGTATAAAAGAACATATTCTACTTGATGTTTCCTGCTTTTTTTAAATGCAGTTTGATGCCATATTTCCCCATGCTGGTTAGGGATCCTCGGTCTGATGCTGATGTGATTTGTTATATTTATTTATTAGCGAGGTTTTTTTTACTGCATTCTGTATAGTTATTTCACGTAAGTGTAAACAGTGGCTGGATACTGTCTCTATTAGCTTATTAACACCTTAGGCTATGAGGGGGTTTAAAACACTTTTAGCAAATAAAATGTGTGATTTCAGTTTCGCATACAGGCATTATATCACTTCAATCCCCACAAGGAGGTATTGATTATTAGGTGGTACAGTCATGCTATTTGCTGTCCACTAGGGGTTGGTGCTTTCTCACTCAAGAAATGCAGTAGAGAAAGAATACAATTGATAAGTAATATTACAAATGTTTGTATCTTAACTGATAATAATAATGATAACATGGTACTCACAGTTTCACTTGATTGTCGTCTTTTCTTTGCATGCTTATGACCAGTGTCCATTTTTTCTGCCAGCTCCATCTTTCGCTTGTTCCTCTTATACGCAGATAAACTGAACTCTGTGATTTAAACAAAATTATATAATTTATTAAACACATCCACATCGATAAAAGCACCTCTGCCAAAGGTTAAGAGAGCACTGTGTTTTGTTTCAGTTTTGCAAAAGGAGCATATTTCTGAATCAGTGCAACCAAACTCACTGGTGGCCATTTTCTCTGAAGGGCACGGTGGTATTCCATGTCCGAGGGCCCAATCATGTGCTCCTCGCCCCACTAAAAAGCTGACAAAGCAAAGCAAATTAACAAATGGATATACTCACTTTAAAACAACATTCATTAAAAACCATTATAATCACCAGGGTGGTATTCTGCCAGCTGATAGTTTCCCTTTCTGTGCTTCACTCAGAAGACGGTTTGCAACTAAGACCGGGTTCTTAATACCTGAAGGGAAAGTCAGAATCATCAGAGGGCTAACAGTTTCTTCTAGCAAGATACTTGGTAAACACACACAGTAATCCTTTAGTCATATCATTAAGTCTGGTAGTATAGGTCAACTGGATTTATTTTGTACATATTTGTTAAGTTTACTTAGTAGTTGCACATTTTCCTTATTTCTCAGTAACACAAGAACGCCAATGAATGCAGGATTGCTTTTAATCTATTTAAATCTTATGAAAAACACTGGTTGGCAGATATTTTTATATCTAAGCTAACAAAGTTTCACTCATCATGCCCAAACAATATGTTAAATGTTACTAGATGAAGACGTGGAAAATTAAAAAAATCTGCTACCCTTTGGACAAAATGTAAAGTGCAGCTTTCTCCCCTGGGCTGTTGTTGTGTAGGGAAACATGCTTTTATTGAACACTTTCTTTATTAAAAACGTTCTGAGTATGTGTATGCGTACATATTAACAGCATTTCTGGTTGTTCTCCAAGTAAAAAGTGGGTGGTCCCCCATTGTTTATGAACCTCTACAGAAACTCTGACATGCAAGAAATTAAATGAGTGAAACATATGCCATTACTTCCAGCTGACTGAACTTGCCACAGCAACACAGCAATATTACACACAGATCAGTGCATGTGTAATAACTCACCACTTATAGCTCCAACCGCCCCGTAATGCAGCGACTTCCCATCCATGATACTTGCATCACATTCAATTTCCCCGGACAAATTAAGGTTGGAACCCATGCCGGCATTTGTAAAAGGAGAGTCCTGAGAACAATTAAGGACAAGGAGAGCCTAGAATAAAACTATATCTGCAATAAACCATATTGTCAATCTTAATATGTTGAAGTAAAGTCATTTTTTTCCAATAGTTTGTTTGCCAAATTCGTAGTGTAATGGAAATATTTGACCTTTGAAATCAGCAGCTGCTGCTGAATGTACTGCATTTGGTAGATTATTTCAAAACAATACTTTGAAACAGCTTATCACCAACTAAAAATAAAATACTGGAAGAGATTTAAATCAAGACAATTCAAAACATTTTACAAAATCGTCACAAATGACCGATGGTGATCTACTCTGTGAAACGTGCCAAACAATGCAATCATTTGCTCTTTAATTTAATAACAAAGCAACATTTTCTTTCAAGCCGCAATCTGGGTTTTTGTGCTAAATCACCTTAGAACTTTGGCTGATAAAGTTGTGGGCTTGAGGCAGTATTAAAAATAGCTTTGCTTTTAAAACGTTGATGCAAATATATCTGAAACTTTCTATTGTAATCTTAAAAAACACGAGTGCTTGCTGCACTGCATTTTTCTGCACAGCTTTACAGCTGCAGAGAGTTCATTGAGGTCATTGTTCTTTATTCCAAGCCTGCCTTGAGTAAAATCATCTCTTACATCATCCAACAGGATATGCGTATATGCATTGGAGGCTGGAGCTGAATAAAGCTGTTTTGGATAAACACATACACATGTCAAATTAGGTTTCTTACTTTCACTGAAAAGTTGGTCGGTTGTTATGTCCAATTTAGGTAATTCAATCTATGCAAATCATGTTGTTACTAAATACTGAGTTCATAAGTTAACTTTTTATAATAAAACCTGGAACAATAATAACTAACCTCAAGTTCAACCAGTGCTGCGGCCACTGCTTCCACTGCGAGGGCCCCGGCTTTGAGTCTGTCCACAGCCTGGAAAAGAGAGACAGCCTTGTTGAACGTGCAACAGCTTTCCACTAAAAGCCGAATGCACCCATTGCTTATTTCAGCCTTTTGTACTTTCATTACCTAATTTCATCAAAGTCAGTTACATAAGGATGGGATATGGACAGAAATAAATCATTTTAACTTTAATCTTCAAAGCACCTGATTTGTTTTCTAGCCCCTACATAATCAAACTGCTTTGCATTTATTGGAAATACTTATATATCCTGCTAACTAACAAACATAACACAAATGTAACTCCTTGACAGAGCAAACTGGGATTTTAAGCCTCATTAAAAACTCCAACTTGGAGATAAAACTAAGGTAAAGACACGCGTAAAACCTATAAGGATCCTGGATTTAATTAGGTTTACCTTGTATGTGTATATGTAAAAGGGACATGGGAAGCATGAAAGGATAAGACCCCTTGTAAAATGTAACTATTTGGCCATAATTCAAAGTAGTTAATCTAGCGGAAACTGGGCACAGCTCATCACCCATCAAGAACATTCCTCTTGTACATATAGGGTGATTGAAGGCCCATAAGGTTGTTTAATAACCATAAGAAGAACCTGGTTCAGAGTGCCAAAGAACAAAGACTTTCATTCCAACAGCAAAATGATCTTAATACAGCCAAATGAAAACTGGAATGACTTCAAAACAAGATCAGGAAAGTGCTTGAGTGCCACTGCCAAAACACAGACTGAAAATATATGTGATGCCAATATCTTGTTGATTGAACTGATAAAACAAGGTTACTTACATATTTACTGAAAACATCAGATCAAATGATAGAAAAAGAAAAAAACAAGTGTGTACCAAACTGTAGTAGAGGGAAGTTTACACATAGTATTTTTGCAACTTTTAGTTGACTAATGTGCTGTTACAACCAGAATCATTTCTCATCAGAGCAACTGTTGACTATTAGATAAAAAAGTTGGCCTCATCAAAGCATGAACAAATATCTCTGTTTATATTTATATATCACATCAAGAAATGTGGTAGGTTTACTTTGTATATGCGAACCTGGAAGATAACGGAGTGACAGTATAATTATTTTTTACTAAGATGTTATCAACAACAACATATCTGGCATAGTTTCAGCTAAATTAAATATAATAGTGTAACAGCAGCATTCTTTCATTTTATTTAAAGGAAAGCTATGCAATGTTTGATATATGCTGTTGCTTTGCACGCAGTAAGTATTTAACAGATCACATACTGTGAACTTCCTAAACCTTGATTGAAGTAATACAATTAGGGCTGCACGATATATCATGTCGTGACGATAATCGCGATATTCACATCGCGTGGATGTGCGATTTAAAAAAAAAAAAAATTATTAAGTAGGCAAATTAACTCAAACACGTCATGTTACAATTATTTTGCTGCTTGCTACAAAAGGAAAACTTGCGCGGCTCTCATGTCAGGGGTACTTGAGTGAGTGACATGCAGGCTCTGCATGCACAGCAAACCACCAATCACAATCAAACGGACCCGGTGATTAAATGTAAAAACACTGAATAAAGTAGTTTCATGTGTTTCTCCAGGGCAGTTCGGCGCTGCTAACCGAGCTAGCTCAGCTTGTTGCTCTGATTAGTTAAGATCCAGACGTCCGTGACTAAAATCCTTCATCCGGTTAAATATAGTTAAAAAAATACCAATTGTATAGCATTAAAGTTCAAGAAAGGATGGTTTGCGGAAAGAAAAAAAACGGTCTTTTCTTCAATTCCTGTATGTTTTCATATCGCAATATATATCGCAGCAGGGAAAAAAATCGCAATGTCAGTTTTTTCCAATATCGTGCAGCCCTAATACATATAATAACTTTTTTTCATCAAGAATAATGCAGATTGTGTGTAAAACAGTACAATGTTATGGTGTTTGTTAGCACACACACAACGTTTAATATAGTGATATCAATAAAATAAACGTACCCGCTGGCAGGCTCTTTTGCACACATGCTTGTACTCTTTGGCCTTAGATTCAGAATGGTATCCTGCTCCTAAAATTACACAATGGGAAAAAGCATTTCATCATTGATAAAAGGTGATAGTGACTTCCAATAAGCAGGAAACTATATTTGGAGACGTAATGCTGCTTTCTATGTATTTCTAATAGGCTCTTATTTCTTCTTGTTAGTTATGGGTTGCAAACTCACCTGCATGCACTAGAACAAATCCACCAACACATTTTGGCGTTTCATTCTTGTTTATTTCTTCTTGTTTGGACCATGAGTTGCCCGGTGGAGAGGAAGGCTGCTGCTCTTCCGCAGAATTCATTAGACTTTCCATAACCCCTGCATTACTTGACAAGCCTATCGTGGCCTATCACAGAGTGGTAAGAAATCCATTCCCATTGTACACCTGTGAAAAATGAATAACAAAAGAAAATGAAACATTGAGGAGTAATAAAGGATACGATTATTTCATGTTTTTGATGCAGATGTACAGATGTTAGGACAATCTTGCTAAGCAGTATGGTTGTCTCCAGCTCTGGACCACAAACACATTGACACATAAGGGCATGAGACAGGTTATAACTTGGACCAACACTACAGCAGAATCTGATTATACCGACAGTGAATGGATTGTGTGTCCAATGTACAAACACGACTACAAATATTATATAAATACATGTAACTTGTAGCTAGCGTTATCTAAACATATGCTATTCATATTAGAGATCAACAAGGCTACAAATCAAACTTTTGCATATGATTAGACGCTGTCACCTCATCTCGTTACACTAAGTTGACGCTATCAACTTTCCAAACAGTTCCCGTTATTGTATCGTTACGCATATCGGCTTAAAGTTAGCGCATTAAAACACATGTTATTTCGTTTGTGCGACGTGCATTTTAGTGATTAAACAAACGACACTGAATTAAAAGATGAGTTATCTCAAGTCCTGTGTTTTCGTTAGCTTGTTAGCTAACAGCTCGCTAATACTCCAACAAAACAAGCTTAACTTACAGTTTTCACTTCTTTCCTATCAGGGACAGAACTGCATGCTAACCACGATGATACCAGGCATGTGTTTAATACACATTAACGGTAAATGGACTCATAAATCTAAGTAAAACAAACTTTAACTCCTCTGTGCTGTAGCTAAACGCAGCTAGTTAGCTAGAGCATTAGAAAGTACTTCCTGGTTCAGATACATGTTGCTAAGGAAGTGCGTTCAGTGCAAACAAATGACACACGTGGATAAAGCGGCACAAAAACATCTCTCTCTCTTTTGAAAATAACAAAATAAGCTGCACAGAATAAAAATTGTACCTTTAGATACAGGTAAAAAAAGATTTAAATGCATTTAACATGTGTTTTCCTGCAGACAACATGAATGCAGAAAAGTCAACAAAATATTATTGAAAACGAGAATTAGGAATATTAAACATGAGACAAAAATATACATCTGTGAATAAAACAACTTTTAACTGAAAAGGCAAGTTAAAAAAAGCTATTTATAATGCTTAAGTAAATCAAATAATGGGGAATTGATTCTAAAGCAGTTTAACATATTACTCGTTGCATAGATTTAATTGTGAAAAAACTAATAAAAACTGCACCCTTGTCAGTCATGCAAACTCCCAAAATAATTTCTAGTGGTGACTGGCAGCTGCAAAACTATACTAACACCATGGATGTTTTTCACCGCAGAGAGGTTATCTAGCATGAAACACACTCCTTTATGACGGATAAGCTTTATTATGTGTCCCAGGAACCATTTAGGTAAACCAGCATTCATCATATCAAGACTCTGTGACTGAATATATTACATTACACTATGTCACTTGTTAGATGCTTTTATCCAAAGCAACTTACATACATTTGATACTGTGGAGTGTGGGCAGTCCCCACAGGAGCAATTTGAGGTGAAGTGTCTTGCCCAGGGACACAACGACGTGCTGAATGCAATTGGGTTGGATTAACGCACTATTCCACTGAGCCACAGCCCCCACATATATAATGCAGGTATCATTAATGTTAAAAATGACACTTGCAATTTATTTTTGTTTTTACACGTCAAAATATCTGCAGACTATTGGCTATTGATAGTGTAGAAAACATGTATGTAAGTTATTGCTTTTACAACTTTTTTGTATCTACAGTATATGACTTTGAAGGCCACTGAAAAATAAAGATAATAAAAACCAGCATGTGATTATGGTTAATGATATGGTCTCAAACTTTTTTTTGTTATAATCTTTAGATGTCACAGTATAAATGTTTCCTCATTTAATCTAATTTGCAGCATATGTGTGTCAGGTTAAACAACTTAACTTTTATTTAGATGCTATTTTTGTCTTAAGAAAAAGTATATTCTAAGTGTCAATTCAGGTCCCACAGTGAATCAAGTTCACAATACACTATCTAATACTGTATCACTGTAATGAACAGAAGTAGGTCGATAATTATCCCTGAAGAAAAACATTAAGATATTGCCTCAGAATTACTCAGTATTTCTTTAGACATATACAGAGTGTGTGACTATTATATGTTAGCTCTTAAACTTGAGAAAAGTTCTTAAACCATCAATCTAGTGAAAGTTGCCTGCCATTTTCCTCATACAACTTGCCTTTGTCGACTGACTACAGATTTTTTTATTATTTCGGCCTGTTCAATTAAATAAAAATATTAATATATATGTAAGGGATAATGTGCAGCGACGCGGTCATTATGGGGAAAAGAACACCGACAGGCTGATCAGGAGCCCGACGCGAAGCGATTTAAAAAATAGTTGTATGTATTGATTTAAATTGACATGCATCCGCTAAGAAAAATAGTTCGTTGTTACTGTTTGAACTAACGTAGCAACGGCAGGAACTGCTTCGATAGCGTTTTTGAGGAGCTTTTTGATTACAGATTTGAAAACATCGTTGCTTGCTTTAAAAGTAGCACAATTCATTATGTCAAACCTTGGAAAGTATCTAGATATCCCTGCCCTAATGCCAAAGTAACTGGCAACTGAATATGTGTCGCCGTTTGATGTCTATGTCTGGACGCTGCGTAAAAAGGAGGGTTTCTGCCCGTTACTTCTCCGCTGTTTGCTTGTCGCTCTTGTCTTGTCAGTTAGAAAAGCAAACTGCATGCAGTTTGCTTTTCGGCCAAAACTGTATACACAGTTAAATCGAACAGACTTCTTTGTGCAGATGTGAGCGTCCTTAACAACGGTCAATAAATCCTTGACAGCGGTCTGTCTGTTCTGGATTAACAACGTCACGTGTTCTGAATTGACCAATCAGAATCGAGTATTCAACTAAACCATGTAATAATTAAGCAATAGCTCACGACAGGCCGTGGTATATGCTCATTATATCACAGTTAAGGGGCGTGGTCCGGCCCGACGCGAAGCGGAGGGTCGACAACCCCCTTAACTGTGATATAATGAGCATATATCACGGCCTGAAGTGAGCTATTGCTTTTATAAAACGGTTACCAAGTGTGGCAATATGAATGAAAAATACACACTCTAATTGAAATAGTTGTTATTATTAAATAATGATGTTCAAAATAAAATAGTCCCTCCGTTGCCTTCTGCACAAAACATAGTGCGAGGTGGTTGCTATGCAACAACACTAACAACAGCTAGCGAACAGAGAGCGTTGATCCATTATTTGGCTATTTATTTACATTAATTTGTATGTTGCCGTTTATTGTGCACTCACTGAAAAACTGTCCAGCATCAGTAGAATGGCTTAGGTGGTTACTTGTATAGGTTGAGGTTGTTCTAGGCTGTTGCTTGGCGTGGCGAGAATATTGCTCCACTTTCTCCGGTCCCCGAGATTCGGCTTCCAGTAGCTCTGGAGAGAGCTTTCGCACCTGTGGCCACTAACGGTCATAATTTCTCTGCTTCGTTTCAAGACCCGCATCAGAAAGCTTTTGAATGGTGATACTTTTCCAGTTGGTCTACCTGCTCTTCACGTAGCTCTACATGTCGTCGTTTAGGTGCTTTTTGTTCTGGAGATAGGCACTCCTCAATCCACTCCTCCATAGTAAGACCCCCCCCCCGGAGGTCGAAGTTAATCTTAAATGTTTTTGCGGACCTTTTTGATTACAGATTTGAAAACATCGTTGCTTGCTTTAAAAGTAGCACAATTCATTATGTCAAACCTTGGAAAGTATCTAAATATCCCTGCCCTAATGCCAAAGGAACTGCACACTGAATATGTTTTTGCCGTTTGATGTCTATGTCTGGACCGTTGCGTAAAAAGGAGGGTTTCTGCCCCGTTACTTCTCCGCTGCTTTCTTGTTCCAGCTTAACTGTATACTGTTTATCTCAGACGCGGAGGGATACTGACTTGTTGTGAAAAGTAACTTACAATTCTACCCGTGGTATACGCTCAGTATACCACGGCTAAGAACCAATCAGATTGCTTGATTTTACTTGTCCGTTTTATAAATAATATAATAATATAAATATATATATATATATATAATATAATATAAAATACAAATAAATACTTCATTGGGTAAGATATAGAAGTTCTCAGTGCTGGATATGCATGTATTATTACTCCCTGTGTGAATAAATGTTATTTTCAGTGACAATTCCTCCTATAACTTAGTATTTCTTATCTCAGAGACTGTAATAAACAGCAGCAGACTATTGGTCGACAGTATATTGTCACATTTACTAGGGATGTAACGATATATCGAATATCGCGATAAATTAAATGTCTCGATACCGTTGTGAGACTGACAAAATCTACCGCGATTTTTTATTACGTTTTTATTCAACCAGGTGATCCCATTGAGATCATCGATCTCTTTTTCAAGGGAAACCTGTCCAACATGGCAGCAAGTAGGTTACAACATGAACATAAAACAACAGATAACACAAAAGGACATCGTATTTACAGGGCTACATTTACAGAGACATTGACAAGTACCAACAGTATATGTATATCTCGCCCTGTCAATAAGCCTCACCTTCTTGGCAAAAACTGTATTGTTTTTGAAGTTGTGGAGAGACAATGCACAGTTTTACCCACTGCTGTCACCCATGGCCAAAGCATGTCTCTCTGTCCCAGCAACACCAGTACCAAGCAAGAGAGTTTTTTCCACAGCAGGGGATATTGTAAATTCCCAAACATCCCAGTTTCTACCTGGAAATGTGGACATGCTCATATTCCTAAAAAATAACCTGTCTGATGATGCTGAGTTAGTGAGTTTGAGTTGAGTTACTTGAGAAAAACTAAAGTGAAACTTGATTTATTTTATTGCAGGGTCTGATTATTATATTTTTTACACTTTAAAATACTACTATCCTACTAAAATGCTGTACAAATCAGATACATTTTTTCAAATAATAAATAAATAAATGTCTTTATTTATTTTTCAATATCGCGATAAATATCGTACCCTGGACTTGTTATCGCGATATTACCGTACCGTGAGTTTTTGGTATCGTTACATCCCTAAAATGTACAGATATTTAAACAAAATGATATGTTCAGCTCATAACTCCAGATCATTTACATTCAACACGTACCGATATCATGATCTGAAACAGGCGCTTTTTATGTTTATGTTCCAAGTAGAAGTGGTATGTACATTCTTTAATCATAGAGTGCAGTGTAATGTTGTTTTCTTTGGATCAAGTCAACAGAGATGAAAGAGTGCTGTTGAGCAATTCATGTGATGAGAGCATGGAACCAGAGCAGAGTGTTGAAGAGGGGCCAGCTCGCCTTTAGGTGCTTGCTTTAGTACTGAATGCTATGAAATCTCAGAGTAAACTTCTTTTTGCTGCACTTGATGGTGGCAAGCAGTTTTATAGATGTTATCTGTGAGTACTGACATTATATATATCAGGCCTTCTACTCTTCTTCATCTTGACACAGATTGAGACTCGCACTGGCTTTTTCTGAGCAACAGTATACCATTTTTAGAGCCCCATAACTTTTAAAAACAAATACATCAACATTTATTAATTTTGGTTGCTATATGTTAGCTGATATTATGAGACAGGAAACGTTTTTTAATTATTCACCAGACTGCTACTGAATGATTTGGTTATTGTGTTGTATTGTGGTTTTATGGTAGGGATTGGAAGTCACATCCAGAAAAGAAAAAGGGTCAGGAATCTAAACTTCTGCAGGCTCAACACTGAAAGAAACGACTTGTAGGATCTACTTGATTAAATCCTAGTAAGTATTTG